GGGGTAACTGTATGGAGGGTTGTTTGTGTATGTGTGTTTGTTTGTGTATGTGTACTTTTTTGCAACATATATAGTTGGTGTATTATCTTTTCGAAATAAAATTTAATTAAAAATTTTAATAAAAAAAAAGAAAAAAATGGTTGGGAACCACTGTTCTAGGGAGTACTCTGGCTTGATTGACTCTAGGACCCATTTTTAGCAGTCCATGGTTTCCGCAGACTTCTTCTCTAGCACCATATTTCAAAGTAGTTTGTTTTCTTCTTATCACATTTTTCCAACTTTCACACCCATACATAGAAAAGGGCAACACAATAGCACACTGTGGCCAAGTGAGGATTTGAACTCTGGTCTCGATAGGCCAGTGCTCAAGCCACCACACCATGCTGGCTTCAGGTTATGCTGAGTACATTTAAAATGTAATTCTTATCCAATACTCCATGGTTTCCTTTCATTTGGTGGTCCAGAGCTGAATCTCTCTGATCTACTCTCTGGCATCAATGGAAAAAAACCCACACATTTTATTCAGATTTTCCTGCAGGAAGTAATACCTATCTGACAAGCCGTCTCCGCTCTTGTCATTAGTTTCTTGCTTCACTGCTTCTGCCAGGATATGCCAAGTTATCCTGGCCTTTCTATGCCTTTAAAGTATCCTGATGTTCAAGACTTTGACATGTAAAGCTTCCTCTGCTACTTATCTACATGCTAAGAAACGCTATACCTGCCCAATTTCTGCATGGCTGGTTGTTAGAGGAACCTAATCAAGAGGATGACTGAGCAAGAGGGCTGAATTTCCAAGGCGGCTGTGAAATCCAATTAGAAACTCATTAGTGTCAAGAAAGGAGAGCAAACGCTGAGCCCGTATAGCCAGAAGGAAACTATATAACGGCAGAACTAATTTACACACATTCATGTCACCTTAAGTCCTGAGAATAAAAGCAGTTTAAAAAAAAAGAAGATGTAACTATATAGCCTGGCTTCAAGCCAGGTTAAGACAAGGCCTGTGTTTCAACTGACTTACTCCCACTTAAGTCAATGGGGCAAACCTGGCTTAAATCCAAGTCCTTTATATTCATTGAGCTGGGGACTCTGACACTCCTCTGACATTGTGTTAAAATGTTTTCACAGACAGTGGCTGAAATTGTCGTCCTAGGATGGATACACACTGCAGAATTAATGCAGTTTGACACTACTTGAGCTGCCATGGCTCAATGTTTTGGAATCCGGATATTTAT